GCTCTCAGATCGGTGTTATTTCAGATTTTCAGCCGGGGCATCTCCTTCCCATCATGGATGAGAGAAAAAGACATTGTTAAGGTATGTCTTCACTGGAAACTCAGGAAATGTCATGTTGATGATCTGCAACTCAGAAACTCCTGGTCTTTGGGTAACTTTGTGCTCCAGGGGATCATGAGATTGAAGAAACTTTTAGAGGCTATTTAACCCAATCCTCTATCTCTCATGTCACTTGGCAAATAAACCATCTCAGAAAGATAGTAGAAAAAGGGGGGGGGGTAAAAAAAAAAAAAAAAAAAAAAAAAAGACCTCGCCGTTTAATGGTGAAACACTAGAAATCATCCCAAGCCTGCAAGACACATGTCATGTCCCTCGTCCCATTAATATTTCCCACAGCTCCGGTGGCACCAGCACATGTAATGAAGTGAGAATCAGGAAGAAGAGGACATGACGACACAATGCCATTCCTTACAGATGAGGCGATGGCGTAGTGGGGAAGCCCGAGAGGATAAACTGAGCGACTGTTGAAAACAAGACGAAGTTAGCAAGTGGCCAGTGATGAAATTAACACGCAGAAATAACAGCCTTCATACGGAGAACTGCCAGCCAGAAGAAAAGATCCGATTTTCAATGGCAGCAAGAAGATAAAATACCCAGGAATAACCCTGCACGAAAGTGAAGATCCAGCTGAAGAAAACATCAAAGTCTTCCAAGGAGCATGAATCAATGGAGAGACACGACCTGTTCTCGGCTAGAATGGCTCTGTATTTTAGGATGCCAACTCTGTCTATATTAGTCCACAAACATTTAATTTGATTTCAGTAAATTCCCAAAGTAATTTGGGAAGAGGAAGGGAGTAACAAGCTGACTCTAAGTGTCATATGAAAAAATTATACAATAATATCATGAAAATCCTAAGATGAGCAAGGAGAAGGATCAAGCCTTACTAGTTATGAACATAAAATATCAAGCTCAGTAATTAAAACAGTGTGATTCTGGTGTATAAATAGTCCCTTTCCTGGAACAAGACACGAGTCCAGAAATAACCTCTATACAGATGGAAATTGACTGTATGGTAAAAGTAGCCTTTCAAATTGGGGGAAAGATTGATCATTCAACAAAGGGTGCTGGGAAATTTGGGTTGCCATCTTTAAAAAATAGTTGTTTCACACCTATCGCTTACTCCAAAATAATTTCCAGATAGATCAAAGATATATGAAAAACATGAGAGAATCGTATAAATAATCCTGAAATGAGGATAGCCTTTAAAAATATAACCTATGAAAAGCTTGATCACATTAACAATGCAAAACTTTTTTAGAAGTTCTGCACAGCAAAAGGACTATAAACAAAGTGTAAGGACAACTGAATCTAAGAGAAATATTACACTACAATGAAAACAAAAGGCTAATTTCCTTAGTCTATAGAAAGCTCTTCAAATCATTAAGAGAAAGGCCAAGAACCTAAGAGAAAATTGAGCGAAGAATATAGACAGCATTTTTGGTTTTGTTTCAAAAGGCTTTTAAACAGAAACGGGACTGGAGGGAAAAGATATCAGAGGCACTCACTTCATGTTCAGGGTTGTGCCAGGCAGGGTCAGCACCTGAGCCAGCACCTTCTTAAATTTTTGCACCTTGGGCACCTCCCTTGCCTCATGAATGGGTTTTCTATTGCTCCATAAGAAATTACCACGAGCTTAGTGGCTTAAAGCAGCATGTTCACTATTTCGTAGTTTCTATGAGTCAGGAGTCACATTTTTGCTGGGTTCTCTGCTCAGGGCCTCACCAGGCTAAAATCAAGGTGTAGACCAAGGCCACATCTCACAGTCGCTCAGGGCCCTCTCCTAAGCTCGTGCAGGTTGCCAGCAGACACCAATCCTTGCAGCTGTAAAACTGAGGTCCTCAAGGGTGTTGGGGTCCTCATTTCCCCTCCCCACAGGCAATGAATAATATGTCTGTTTCCTTTCTTCTCTGAGGCCAGCAGGAGACTCTCACATGCTTCACCTTCTTTAAAGACCAGGTCAGGCCCACCCAGGATGAACTCCCTGTTGACTGACTCAACGTTCACGAATCAGTAACCTAACCCCTGGAGTAACATTCCCTCAAATTCACAGGTCTCGCCCACACTCAAGGGGAGGGGCTTTATGCCAGGCAGGTGGGAAAGCCAGAGGCCACCATGCAATTCTGTCTGTCACACTTCACCCTACTCCAGGTCCTGCTTTTAGACATACGAGAAGATGCTCAATGTCACCTTTAATGGCAGTTGCCCGGGCAGGTGGTTTCA